ACTTAATTATAATTTATTTATATACATATATATATTAAAAATTAAATTACTAAAGAAATAAATATAATTTTTTAATTAATTATACCGAATCTTCTAGATAACATTTACAAATATTCAAAGAAAGTTTGGTTGGGTACATCTTTATAAGCTGCCAATTTCAATCATACAAGTCACATAATTTGAACAAGAAATCAAATCTTGTTAACTTACTTTATAAGTCACCCCGGATTTTTAATATATATAAAAAACGAGTTATATGTCATTACTATATGATAATTAAAAACTTTATATTATACTTAAAAGTCGTGAATTTAAATTTTATTATAAATTTATTATTTAATAAGTATATTATATAATTTGTTAATGTATTTATAGAATTATACTGATAAAATCGGTCGGGTTGAATTAAATTTTAACGAATTTATTATATTTTTTGAATAAAAAAATAGTAATCAAAAAATTAATATATGTTAAATTTTAAAATAATTTATTTAAAATTCAAAAAGATAATATTGATGTAATAATTATGCTATAATAATATATATTAAGAATATATGAGGTACAAATATATTATAAATTTTTTAATAAAATTTGGGTATTTGAATATAAATTTTGTTGTAAAAATTTCAAAAATTATAAACTCAAAGTTCATTTAATTTCAATCCTTCTTTATAAGTAAATTAATTAATTAATTAATTTTCAAATAAAAATAATATTTTACGGTAATTACATTTTTTAATTCGGATAATTATAATTACATTTCTTGGAAGGTAAACCGAGGGCGTGTTTGACGAGAATTAAAAATAATTATTATTTTTTAAAATATTTATTTTACATTCACGTTAATTCTCAAATTAAAATTAATAATTAAATTATTAATTAATTTTTATAATTTTGTAAATAAAATAAATATAAAAATATTATATTAAAATTTAATAATGGTTAAATTAAGAATTTTTGTTTTTCGTAATTCGGTCTGGCCTCGCCGTTTCCTTAGCTGTATGTATGTACATACCTTTCTCCTTCTCTCGTCTCCTGTATCTTCTCGGCCCAAATCCGACGCTACTCTTCGTCTCCCTCTCTCGCTCCCTCGCTCCCTCGCTCCTCTCAGTAGAAATCTGGAATTTCACGCCTTAAATTTCCCATCTTAGCTTGCAGGTAAACCGTCTCTCTAACTGCAACGCATGAGTGATGCAATTGTCTATCGTTTCATCTTGTTTTGACTGTTCTACATGGGTTATTGAATTCAATTTTGATTCGTCTTTCAATTAGCGAAATACTCGTTGTTCCTTTTCTCGGATTCCGACTGGATTTCGTGTCTGGCGTGAATAAACTGCACTTTTGAGTTGTTCGTTTGACGAGCTGCTTGTTTTTTTTAGGTGAATTTTAGGGTTCTGATATCAATTCCGGTGAGATGGTCTCTGGATTTTTCGTTTTTGGTCCGTGACTAACTCGTCGATGATTTTGATACGGGTTTGTTTGGTTCTGGTGATATTTTAACTTCGTTAGTTTCTTGAAGTACATTGAATTTTTGTGCCGTGGCTGCTTCGAAACGTCCTTGGTTTTTTGCGTTTGGAGATATCTGCCAATGCATGTTAGGTTTTATTGCAAAGCAAATATGTTGCCTAAAAATTTTAATTTGTTTGGTGTGGATCATGTGTTGATGGTGGGGTCAATTTGTTTGTTTAGTGGAATCATCATGCTTATCTTCATGAAGTTTCTAGTCTTCATACCTAGAAGAAAGCTACATCATTGTATATATTTTTCATCCTCATCTGTTTACAAATGCATTATTTTAGGGTTAAATGAGCTTTCTTTTGGTAGGTTCTGTGTCATTTCTGATATTAAATTGTTGGCTTTCCCACTTGCCAATTTGCAATGTTGAATATATATGATTCATTTTGTATTGTGTCGCCGTATGGCTGGAAAATCTCCATTTCCACCATCTTTTCTATGTCAACCTGTTTTGTAGTCTTTTGGGGTGTAAGGTTGTATTCTTTAAAACTTTCCTACTGTCATAGGGGGAAAATCTCGAAAGAAAAACATTATTAGCCAGCTATAGTCTTTGGTCTTCCTGCGCACTGAATATTGAGAATGTTTCCAAACTTCTGTGTGTGCTCCCTTAACACTCAGCACTTGCTGTGCTTCCAGCAAGAAACTGTCTTGGATACAATCAATGATTGAATGATGTATTTTCATCGTCGCAAATGAAATTGGAGATTTAGAGGGGTCAGATTTGAGCATGGTTCCAAAATCCTAAGCCAATGTTTGGAAAGATTTTCAGTGAATAACTTGATTGTAAATTAAATCGTCATGCAAAGTGCTTGGTATTTTTCACTTGTTGGAATTTTAAGCCAACAACTTGGTGATCTTTCCCCAAGATTAGAGGGCGTCAAATATTAGAATGAACTGATGTTGGCACTTGGCAATGAAATCCGAATGCTTTAATTCTTTAGAAAAACATCCAAAAATTATTGGAGCTGATGTCTGGTTCTTTCTGTCTTCCTCTTTAATGAAGACCAAAGAAGACTAACTTGTTTTACCATTGTAAGAATGACAATGTAGTCTTAAATGTTATCAGAAAAATTTTGGAAATTTGATTTTAGGAATTTTATTCAGTTTTCTACTATGTTTGGGGTTTTGCTTAGCTTAATCTAAACTTGGTTTCGTATTTGAAAATGTGGTGCTTAAGCAATAGAACCTCCTTTATTGAGATTTGGACAAGTCTGTTATTGATGATTTTGGTTACAGCTAATGAATTTTTAGAATGAGCTACTTCTTCAGTCTCCAGTTTTTTTTCCTTCTTTTTTTTTTTACTTTTTGGTTTCATTTTCTATGCTTTCTATTTCTTCTCCTTGTTATGTCTTTCTTATGTGTTCCATTATAACATTGGATGCGTATGATGCATATTGTGTAGCATATCTGGAAAAGTTCAAAAGTTTGGAAGTTTGAAACTGAAATAAAGAATTTGTGAGCCTCCTTTGGACATTTGTGGACTATGTATGAGTTTGAAGGGGTAAGTTTCTTGGAAGTTAGGATGGTCTGGAATTATTAAAATTACAGGAAAAATTTTCAACCTTAAGGCTAAGATTACTGCATATGGTTTGTTTATAGAGCTTGTTAGTGCCTTTTGTTATCAGAAGGGAATATATGTTTGGATCTGCCCATTTATTGACTTCTTTAGTCCCTTAGTTGATTTTTCCCTCTCTAAAATATTCGTTTTTATGATGTCCTACTCTTATGCTTTAGATTACTTTATTTTGCTGCATTGAGCAAAGAAATGGTTGAATTCTTTCGTAACTTGGACCAAAAAAAACTATTGGTGGTCATGGCCAAGGGATCTGTCTTCCTTCTTCAATGCTTTAATGTTCATGGACATTTAATTCAGAACTAATTCACCTAAATTTTGTGTATTAGGTAGCAGATTACTATTGTGTTGGCAATATAGAAACAAGTAGCCAGCAAAATATTGTCTGAAATTGGATGAAATTGCAATAGCATGTCTGCTCTGATTGAAGGTCTTCCCGACGCCGTTGCTCTCCGGTGTCTTGCTCGTGTTCCTTTCTATCTTTATACGCGGTTGGAGCTTGTTTCTCGTTCCTGGCGCGCTGCTGTTCGTAGTCCTGAGCTGTTTAAAGCCCGAAAAGAAGTTGGTTCCTCAGAGGATCTGTTATGTGTCTGTGCTTTTGACCCTGAGAATTTGTGGCAACTTTATGATCCTCTCCGAGACCTTTGGATTACTCTTCCTGTTCTCCCCTCAAAAATCAGGCACCTTGCCCACTTTGGCTGTGTCTGCACTGAAGGGAAGCTGTTTGTGATTGGTGGTGGCAGTGATGCTGTTGACCCATTGACAGGTGACCAAGATGGGAGCTTTGCAACAAATGAGGTCTGGTCATATGACCCTATTATTCGACAGTGGACACCACGTGCATCCATGCTTGTGCCCCGTGCTATGTTTGCATGCTGTGTTTTGAATGAAAGATGTTGTTGCAGTGTTTCACCAGCTGCCGAAATCATTTCTCAGCAGAAATATATG